GCCCGGCCCTCCACCCTCAACCACCCTCCGCCCCGACCCTCGGAGGGCCGGCTCCAGGCACCTTCCCAGGTTGAGCCCCGGGGTCCATCCGTCCCTTGGGGAGGGGACAGAAGAGGCAATGCTGGAGGAGAGAAGAGTGAAGCAGGATGGTCCAGGAGTGGACGGCCCTGTCTCACCTTCCCTGCTGCCCTGGGAAAGCCAAGCTCTGCCCCAAATGCCCGATGTGGGTGGCCAACGGGTTTTCTCCAGTGCACAGCACAGGTGTCACTAAAGTGATGCTCTCCTGTGAACTGAACCCGGCAAAGCACCAGGACCACCCTGACGGCTGCCGGACAGACTGTGCTCAGGGACCCCCAGCCCCTTGCCCGCCTTGCTTTCTGCCAGGAGGAAGGGGCTTGTGCTTTCAGAACCTCCTCACCCTGAGTGGTCACAGACCAGAGGGTGGGGGAGTGGCCAGTAAAAGTCCCCACCAGCCATATGTAGGGCGACAAAGCCCAGTAGCCCTCTGCATCATCGGAGGGTCCTGGAGACCTATCTTGCTGAAGGGGTGACTGACTGCCCACTCCCTTCCCAGTCTATCCCTTAGCATGGGGTTGTTTAGTCTCTTGTGGGGCCAGCCTGTCTGCCCCCCTTGCTGGGGACCCACAGGAGGGGGCATCCCTCTCGGCAGTGGGCAGGTGGGAGGCCCCTGCCTGGCGGGATGTATCCCATTGCACCTGGCTTCCCGGCCACAGCTCACTAGCTGGGTGCATCCTGCAGGCGAGGCATGGGCCGAACCCCTCGAACACATCCTCCCCATCGGTCCTCCTGGTGGCCCTTTGAGATGGGAGTTCCCATGATCCCACCACACAAATGAGGACCCTGGGATGTAGGAATGTGGGGCTCTTGCCCCTGGTTGCAGAGCTGGGAGCCTTCGTGTGCTCGGCATGGAATCTGAGCTCCTTGGCTGCTGTCCTTCAGGGTAAAAGGTGCTGTTTCATTTTACCGCTGCACAGCCTCGAACGCGAGGCAAGAATCAGTCTTCCCAGGGCACGTGTTGGCAGAATGTAGGGTTTGCTTCAAACCCAAGTCCCTCCCGCGTCTGCATCCTGGTAGCCGTACCACCAGGGAGGGCGCATGTGGGTCACCAGCATTGGTGCCTCTAGAACTCCCTTTTCTACAGCACCTTGAATTTAAAACCTGCTTCCCTGTCTCCTGGTCCCAGGAGTAACCGGGTCCTTGGAGCAGGAGGGACTGAGGAGGAGGGAGGCACCGGTGGGCCTGTAGCCTGCCCGCCGCTTTCTAGTCCTCTTGCCCCTCAAGGGGCAGAGAGGAGTCCCCCAGCGGGAGCAGCAGGCCCGTGCTGCCACCAGGGGATGGCCAAGCTGGGCGGGTGGGGAACCATTCCCTGGGCAGTGACTTGGGGGGCTCAGTTCTCCCCAGCCATGGCCCTCTCAGCCCTGGATTAGATGCAAAGGCCACGTTCTTTCTGGATAAGGTACACCTTTCTTAAATAAAGCATGGGGCAATTTCTAAAAGGATTTAAATCATCCCGCAGCCGCAGCAGGCTGCCGCACTGGGACGTCCGGGCTTTGCGGTGGACGGTGAAAGCAAAAAAGGGTTTTTGAAGTGAGTGGACCCTCAACAGCGTCCAGCTTCAGGAGGGCTCAAGACTTGGACCAAAGGGGGCATCCCCAACCCGGGGGCTGTCCTCGTGCTCCCTGAAAGGCTGGTGAATGGTGGGCACTGGCTAACTCCCATTTCTCCTGTCCTCCACCCCGCAGGCAAACTGTCCCTGGAAGAATTCATTAAAGGTGCCAAGAGCGACCCATCCATCGTCCGGTTGTTACAGTGTGACCCCAGCAGCGCAAGTCAGTTCTGAGGGATCGACGTCTGGACAGTGCAGAGAAACACAGGCTTGTCTTGCCATTTAAGCTTTGCTTGCAGAAGTGGATGCCTCCTCAATCATTCCTGCTCTCCCGGGGTGGCCAAGCGGCACATCGCACCTGCCCGCCTGGCGGCCGCCTCCCTCCTCCACCTGGCCTCCTCCCGCCCCCTCCCTGGTCCCTCCAGGGCGACCCCGGGGATGTGTTTACATGCAAGACTCCCAGTGTCCCCGCTTCTGCTTCTGGGGCAGCTCTCCGCCCGCAGGGAGCCCAGAGGACACACAGAGGATCCTGGTGGGACTTTCTAAGATCGCACCGAGGCCAGCTGGTTTTATTTTGTGATCACAGGTGACTCTGGAAAAGATGGGGACAAGAACGGAGGGAGAGTGGATGGGCAAGCCCTCCCTGTGCATGGCTCCACCCAGCTCGTCTGTTTTCTCTGACCAAAGCCGCTTGCACGTATATATACTGTGGTCTCCTTTCTTTGAATATATAAGTTATACGTATGGTGAAGTGAAATGTAATGTGTAGGCCCCGTATTTAATGCCTGGATTGCCTTTGAAGCGTGATTCCCTCGTGGCCTGTGACCCCTCTGAGCCTGGTTATTTTGTGGTATTTATGCACTCAATCTGCCCGTTTCAAAAGGACATGCATGCGTGCCCAGGGCTGCGGAGCCGCGCCCGCCCGCGTTGTGAACGCAGGCATCCACGTGAGGTTCCTCTCCCTTGTTGATTGGCATTTCCTGTATTAAAATGATCAAATAAACGGAATTCTCTGAGTTTTGTGTTGGCCCGTGGCCTTCAGCGTGCTCCAGTACAGGTGGGCTTGGTGGGTCCAGCTGCTGTTTGTAAACTTGGCCCTCCTGTGTCCCTGCAGCCATCACTGTGTCTATAAATCTTGTGCAGCCTGTTCTTCAGTAGCTGCCTAATGCCAAGAAATAGTCGTGGAAATAAAAGATGACTGTTCTTGGCAGGTTTGACTGTCACGCTTCTGCCTGCCTCCTCCCTTCCGCGTCCCGCCCCCCACCCCAGGGTTTAATCAGCAAGGCGGAAGGACAGCAAGCACCAAGTGAGGACAGAGGGGCATGGCTGTGAGCACAGGCCTGGCTTCTCAGCCTGCGGCCATGGAGATGCTTCTGGTCCCAGCTGCAGAAAACCCAGCAGAAGGTGCTTCAACCATGGGAGTGTTTGCAGCACACGCCACAAAGCGTTGCGGGCTTGGCTGACAGAGCAGCTGAAGAGCATCACGGAGGTCAGCCAGGTTCCTTCCGCTTCCCACCGCCCCGCCCCCAGCCCCGCAGGCAGCTTTTGTGCTCACGTTTGCCTACCGGGGGTCCCCACAAGGCTGTCACTGTGCAGCTGGCACGGGAGCCTTCCACAGGCAGGAAGAGAAGCAGCCCTGGCTTTTCTTCCTTGAAAGGGAGGAGAACTTTCCAGAATTCTCCTGCCATGCCCTTCCCCACCAGCCACAATTCTTATTGGCTGAAACCCAGGCCAGTGCCTTGGTAGGAGTGTGAGGTGTCACCTGGCCAGTCAAGATGCCCCCTCGGCTGAGGAGGCTGCACCTCCCCCTGAAGACAGGGAGCCAGGACGGGTGAATGGGACTGGGGTTCGGGGTCCAGTGTCTGTCATACCTGCTGCGGGACCTCCGAGCCTCACCTGTAGAAGGGCCGTAACCGGGAAGCAGATGAGCAAGGTAAGCGTGTAGCTTGGAACCTGACCCACTGTAGGCGTCAGGGACCACGGCCGTTTTGTCGATTTTAGTGATTTTAATGTATCTCTTCCGGCTCCACATCTCTGAACGGAAACGGTGAGCCTGCCTGTAAGTGCCTTTTGAGCCAGTGGCACTACCTAAGGCTGGTTCATGGTGAAGCCCCGGGCGTACCACAGGCCAACCGGAGGTAGGGGAGGGGGGCCCCCCAGTGACCAGGGGGTGGACCCAGCTTGCTACAGGGAGATTAGATGATGCCTTGGCAACTCTGCCTGGCCTGGAGGAATCTCCCCTCCCAGAGAGGGGCTTGCACTTCAGAGTGGGACTGGAATTGGCAGAGGTTAAGTCAGAAGTGCTTGTTGGGGTTGGGGGGCTGCGGTGCTACAAACAGGGGACACTGCTCAGTGGACATAGATGAGTGATTACTGCAGCAGGGTTCACCCCAGAAGCAGCCAGCAGGATCTTTCTCTCCCTCTGTCTACATATGCATCTGTACAGGGCCGGAGGGAGAGTAAGAGAAAGATTTATGATAAGGAATTGGGATTCCTCACAGGATTATGGGAGCTGAAAAGTCCCAAGATCTGCAGGCTGGAGACCCAGGGGAGCCGATGACAAAAGTTCCCATCTGAGTCCGAAGGCAGGAGAGTGACATCCCAGCCCTAGACTGTCAGGTAGAGAACAAAATCCCCCCGGCTTAGCCTTTTGTTCTATTCAGCCCTTCAACCCTTTGCACACTGAGGAGGGCTGTCTGCTTTACTCAGCCTGCTAATTATTAATTAATGTTAATAAATATTCATCTCATGCAGAAACACCCTCACAAACACACTCAGAGTAATATTTAACCAAATATCAGGGCACCCCACCACCCAGTCAAGCTGACATAAAATTAACCTTCCCAAGTACTTCCACCCAAATGTGGAAGATGTAGATCTGGGGGCCCTAGTGGACCCTGCCCCCACAGGAGCTCACTGAAGTATGTGGTTCCTTGGGGAGTCTGCTGCTGGGAGGGAAGGGAAAGTAGTCCCAGAGATGGTGTCCATGTCAGGAAGCCCAGCTCATCATCAGAAGAGGAACCTGGAGTCGACCTCAAAACTGTCTTTTCCAAGCCGTGCCCCCCCCCCAGCCCCCGCACGAATACTGTCTTGGAGTAGATTCTTCTTCCAGGGCTGGTTGTTAGAAAGTGCCTCCTCCTGCCCCTCCCTGGAACTTCATGGTAAAGGCCTGGGCCGGCTGCTCTCCGTCGCTCCCCATCCTGCCTTCTCCTTGCCCTGAGGAAGCCCAGACCCTCTGTCATCCTGCATGGACACCTCAAGTTGGTTAAAGATCTGTGGGAGTTTCCCGTGTACCCCTTACACTCTAGGCAGGCCTGGTCCTGTGTCTAAAGCAGGACTTCAGGAAGACGGCTCTGGTCTAGTCTGCGTGTCTTCTGACTCCGCCCAGGACCCTGCCCAGAAGACATAATATCCAACCTCAGCCCTTCTTCCTTCGTGTGGCCTGAATCCCCTGCCCTGGGGTGGTGGCTCCATGGACCCTTCTACCTGCTCTGACAGCCATGCTCAGGGTCCTGTGCTCACTGAGGAAACACAGCAGTGGGAACAACCCCCAAAACTAGAGAATGTTTAGAATCGAAGGAGGAAAGCCCTGGGGTGGGAGTGTGGGATATACTATGTCCAAGACGGGTCATCTGGGCAGCCTATGACCAACCCCCATGAGGGCAGGACTGTCACCTCCATTACTCTGAACCCTGGGCCTTCATTAATACAACCCGACCTAGGCATTTTCTGTCTGCGTAGGCCTGCCTTCCCTATGGGAACCAGCGTTAAGGCAGCATACTAGTCCACATTTGTGGAGGGCTTCCTAGGACAGATACTGCTAAACCCCTTAAATGTTTTGTCTAATTGAAACCCGCCGTTAACCCCACAGTACAGCATTACTGCCCACATGGTACAGATGGATCAGCTGAGGTTTAGAGAATAACCTGCCCCAGATGTTTAGAAATGGGTGGCAGAAGCAGGATTTGAAATCAGGAGAAGCTCCCAAGGCCAGAGTTGCCGGTGGTCCTGCCAGGCCACCTGCCCTCCTGCGGTGCACGGAGGGCACTCTTGGGCGCATCCTCGTCAGGGAGGAGACTGTTCTCCTGTCTGTGAGCTGGGCGCGATGGCTGGAACACACACACTCCATGCACGCACACCCACGCACCCTAACTGCCCGTTGCACAGACACTCCCCAGCGCTGCCCTGCTGCTCTCACTCGGGGCGGGTGAGCCCCGTTCACAAGGGCCATCGTGATGCGCCTGCACCACCTGCAGGCGATGAGGAAATGGGCCCCGGGAGGGAAGGGACGACCCGCAGACCGGTCCCCAATTCTGGGGACTCCACTAACAACCGGCCAGGCCCCAGGAAGTCAGTGGCAGAATCAGAACAAGCCAGATCCTCTTACACCCAGACAGTGCCCCTTTTACCACGTGTGTGTGTGTGTGTGTGTGTGTGTGTGTGTTTGGAGAGGGAAGGGGCTTGCTGGGACTCTGGGGTCCAGTTTGGAACGTGCGTCTGTCCTACAGGGCGGGTCACGGAGGCACACCCAGGCACATCCCGTGCAGAGACCCAGCGTCGAGGGGCTGGTGTGTCTGGCCTGGGCCAGCGTCCAGGGCTTGAGGGGCGGTGGGCTGGGTCACCAGGTGTGCTGTGGGCACTGCAGGAGCCCGTGGTAAGGGGCAGAGAACACAAGCTGCGGGGACCCACCAGCTGTTCCCTGGGTGTGAGGCAGGAGGATCCCGGGCTGGGCTGGGGATGGGTGTCGCAAACTGTGCTCAGGATGTTTCAGGGGGAGGAGCCTGGGCCAGGGCAGGGCTGTCTAGAGCCCCACTTCAAAGCCCAGATGCCCAGTGCGGCTGACCCTGGATCTCCCTCTAAGCCAGGCCATGCTAATGTCCCCGCAGCCCTCCTGTCACAGTCAGGTCTCTGTCAGCGTTTGTTCAGTGACTGAGGGACCTGACTACTATCACAGTGCCAGACCAGCGGAGGAGCCTCAAGCACTAGGTGCTGCTGCCCCCTGGTGGTCATGGCTGGGAGGGCCATCCTGGGATTGGGTGTGTGGATCCCCTAGCCTGGTTTCAGAGCCTCTTGGGCCAGCTGTCAGTAGGAGGTTTCTGTCTCCATCCCATTTGACAGACGAGAAGCCTAGACCCAGAGCAACACCTGACTATGCGTGAGCCACACAGCACACAGAAGCTGAGGCCAGGCTCCTAGGACCTAGGATTTGGAAGCCTTGTCAATCGGTTGCCACATAAAATACAGGCGCCCAGTTAAATCTGAATTTCAGATACTTCAGTTATTGGTTAGCACCCTTTCAGTACTCGTATGTCTCATGAAATGCCTTACATTTTTACTTGCTAATTCTGGCAAGCATACTTATCAATCCATGAAGCTAAGCCCACACAGCCCGCAGGGCAGGTCAGAAGCTGCTGGGGTCAGGCCAGCTCACAGGCCACCACCCTCAGGGCACGCACTGTCGTGTTCCTCCACGTTCCAGAGTCAACAGTGAGGATGGAAGGAATTCGCCTCCTCCCCAAAAATAGCAGAAAGCATTTCTCAGGTGTTTTCACTCAGTGCTCTAAATTCTGAGCTTCAGCGACGTCCCTCCTGACTGCCAGGCAGGTGCACGAGCCCAGCTTCTAGGGAGGAGGGCGCGGGGGGCCTGCCGCCAGCAGGGCCAGGTCGGCTGGGTCAGTGCCGCCCCAGGCCAGGGCTTGGCCACAGCTCAGGGTGCGGCCTCCGCAGACTTAGAGTCCCAGGAGATCCAGGCCACCCCGGATGCTGCCTCTCGGGTAGGGAATGAGGCTGGGAGAGAGTGAGGATAAGGACTCATGTCCCCGCCAACCCCCCTGCCCTTGGTGGGACAGAGAGGCTCTTTTCAGCCTCAGTTCTTTTTCTCCAATCAGTGGCCAGGAGCAGAGGCTGGCAGGGGAAGATGTGGTCCTCCTCTTAAACTTGCTGGCTGAGCTCACTTGAGTCAGCTGCCTCTCTGGGCTTCATGGCATCTGTGATAAAGGAGTCTGGGAGAGCTCAGCAAAGCCTTTTCTTCAGATGACACCCTACCTTGAAATCTGATGTGTTAAAAAGTGAGTGAAGCAGAGAGGGCGGAGCTCCCAGACCCAGCATGGGGGGCCCACACTCAAGAAAGTATGGGGTGACGGCCAGAAAATGTGCCAGAGGAGGTGAGCAGCCAGCAGGTAGTATGACCCAAGAAAACCTGATATGTAGGAATGTTCTCTGCATAGAGACGTGAGGAAGTAGCCCCACCTTGTGGGCAGGAAGGGCTTCAGTCCTTGGTCCCAGTGGCTCTGCTGCCTCCATGTCTCCAGAGCCGGCTGGGCATGAGCCAGCCCTGCCAGCCCTGCGAAGTTGAAGAGCAGGCCTTGGCCAACCCCACCCAGGCCCCGGACCCTGCCCGCTGATCCCTGTTCAGCAACTCGTGGGCGCAGGAGTCACATGATTAAGGACTTTGTCTCTGAGTCTGTCTCCTCCCCTGGGAGGCATATTTTACGATTGCTTTAAAAGCAGTTAATAGACACACATAAAAGTGCAGTCCGTCTCCACTCGCCTCTTCAGGCCTCGATTCTCCTGCTGGGTTTCTTGTCAGTTCTTCCAAAATTTTCTTTGCACGTGCAGGTCCTCGCATGCACAGTTTTTGGTTTGCTTTTTACAGGTGGTACGCGGCGTGCCGCACCCCGCTCTTTCTCCAGCTTGGAGATGGTCCCACATCGGCCCCTGCAGGGCTGTGGGCCTCGAAGCAGCCATGTGTCCCCCTGATAGATCTCGTCAGTTCCTCCTGACGAACATACGGTTGTTTCTAATGTGTGCTGAACAAACGACGCCATGATGAATAGCCTCGTAAGTGCGTTTGTCAGAAAACTCTTGGAATTGTCAGGGCAAAGGTAACACGGATTGTTTTTGATACTGCCAAGTTCTGTCCAGAGAGCTTATTCCTAGTCTCACTTTCCCACCTGCCGAGGGCGAGCCCGCCTGCCTTCGCGGTGAGGGAACCCTTTTCTCTTTGCTCACCTGACGGGTGATAGATTCTCAGCTTTAATATGCATTCGAGTTTTCAAGTTTGTTCATGTTCAAAGTTTTCTCGTCTGTGAACCTAAGTTCATGTCTCATCCACTTTCTATTGAATTGTCCCTTTATTGATTGGAGCACTTTGAATATGAAAAAATCAGCCCTTTCCATGTGTGCTAGCTTTTCCATTTGCCCCTTGCCTTTTTGACTTCAAATGTTTTCTTTCAATAGCTCTGTGGTCTCATCTGTCACAGTGAACTTTCATCTGGAATTTATTGTGGTAAAAGGTGCGTCAGTGACCCTTTTACCTTTCCCAGGTGGTTACCTGTCGCCCCACGGTCCCTGTCCCCAGTCTGGGGTGGGCCCAGCAAGCTGTATGAGATTCCCTGCCAGATTTGGAGACCCCTGCCTTTACCGTGGACTGATAGTCCCTCCCATGGGGGCTGCACGGAGACCCCAGTACTCTCAGGAGGAAGACTCACCCACTGCCTCAGTGTGGACCCCAGCTATAGACACTTCAAATCAAGGCCTAGAAATGTCGTTTCCGTGAATAACCACAGTACCATCTTCAATGGAAATACAAAGGTATGCACTGCAAACTAGAACCCAAGAGGGTCCTGCTGGAGGACAGGGTTGACACCCAGCTGCCTGAGATCTCCATCCTCTTCTGCCGAATTCCCTTGCCCACTCCTGGATGCAGGGGCCAGGGAAGGTCATTTGTCCCAGGCCGGCCCATGTCACCACTCAGACTCCAGGGCTCACAAGCGGCTTCACCAAGGTGCCGGGGCCAGGTTCAGAGGCTGCGCTGTGGGTGGCATGGGGCTATTTCTGTCCCCACTGGCCCTGGCCAGTGGCTTGGATTGCACTCTACCTAAACAGGCTGAGAGCAGAGCAGCTTCCAAGCCCTGAGTATATGTACTTCTTGATAGAAAACTTTTTCGAGCCAAGCTCGGTGCTGTCACTACAGCATCTCAACTCCCTCTGAAAGCGGGCACCTAACTTATCAGGTCTTAAGCTTGGTGTCCAGCTCATGTTTCTTGGTATTCAGTCCACAGTGAACACCAATCCCTTTATTTTGAACACTAGCAGCGGGCAGACTGAGGACCCAAAGGAAGTGGGCAGACTGTCCATGTGTTTTTTCCTCTCTTTGAGACTCCAGTCAGACCTATTTTCTTTGTGGCTTCTGAGAAACCCCATTCAGAAGCCTGGCAACTATAGCCATACTCTTGGGTCCAGGAAGGGACAGGGGCTGGTGACAAGCCAGGTCCTCGTCTGGCTCAGCAGCTAAGAGGTAATGTCAGCAGTCACAGCAATGCTGTGTGCAGGCAGCACCCACGTCGTCACTCCTCTCGGCACCTTTGGCGTATTAACAGCATCATGATGAGCTTAATTCAGTCCCTGAGATGAAAGAAGCTGCAGCATTCTGACTGTACCACGAGCTGTCCCCGCCCTGTGTCCCTCCAATGGAGCTGGCGAGACACTCGATACCACCTGCGGTGACATCTGGCTTTTACACGGCCTCCCCCCTCCCCCCTCCCCGGGCTACAGCAGGACTCACAACTCCCATTTTGGAAGTTTAGTACGAGAGGCTGCCATCCCTTTCTGGGGAGTCGGGGGACAGTGAGTAAGAGAACAGAAAAGGCCAGGGGTCAAGGCCTGAAGGCAAAGACATACAACACAGATGATAAGTGAACGTGTTAGAATAAGCTAACTGCCAAAAGCCGTGCTACCTCCCTAACCGGTTGGTAACTACGCAGCTTGTCCTGGGAGTGAAGTCGAGGCGGGGAGGGTCTGTGTGGTCTCGAGGCAGGGCTCCGAGGGCCCACTGACAAGGGGCTCTGGGCGCTCAGTGGACGTCCAGGGGCTGAGCCATTAACAGCGGAGGCCGGCCACTGCCTCGGCCCTCCTCTCCCTCCCACTGCACGTGGGCCAGGTCCACTATTCTCTGTGAGAACCTACAGCAGACTTCCTATGAGACCTATGTACTTGAAATACATACGTCAACAGAAAGGAGACATGTCCATGGGTTTTCAAAATATTAAGAACCATCAACTCAAGGCAATTTTCCTGGCCTGTGAGGGAAAAAACATCAATTCCCACTTACAAGACCCTCGAGGTGAGCGTTCAGAATGGACACGTAAAAATCTCCCATTGCCTTATTATTTCAAGATACTTTATTTTTTTAAAACAGGTCACAACACTGAGCTTCTGGCCCATTCTGCCAATGTACAAGCTACAAACGCTTGCTCAGCAGTTAAGGGGCACGCTTTAGTAGCATTGTTTGAAAAGTGAATAAAAATCCATATAAAACAAATATTCAAATAGTTTCCATAGGAACACAGATAAGTGTGACCCCATCTCCTAGTCTTCCATGTGGGTGCACCTGCGCCACCCTACTCACACAGACATCTCAAAACTAGCAGTAGTTATGTTAAATGGTCCCCCCAAATCCCTTAATTCAAGCTAAACTCGCAGTTTACAGCTACAGGGCTGGTATCTACACATTAATACTAGCTGAAGCACAGGCTGCTGGGTGACGCTTCATTCCACTCTCCCAAGCACAGGACACAGGCAGAGTGCTAACATCCTGCTCCTCTACTTCGGGCGGGAAGTCACGGTTCTGGATTTGCTGCATCAGTTGCCTGTAAGAGACAGAAGCGGCATATTCAGAAACCCTGAGTCACCCCTGACTGGGCAGTTTCACACAAGAAGAGCTTATTCATGAGCCTATTTGCATCCTTGGTTACTATGTCATCAGGAAGCAATTTGATGTATTTCTAAAGCAGGTATTTCTTCAGAACCAGCTTTCCACCAGTAAGGAAACCACACGTTAATACACTAATTAAAACGTTCTATTTACACAGAAATATCCCAATCGTCTTTTCCGAATTAACTATGCCTTAAAAACGTGGAAAGAACACAAGTAACTATCATTACAGGGATTTTCCTTCCACTGCATCTTCCAAAATTTCTAGAGCGTATGTTCTTAATATGGGGAGAAACGCAACAAAAAAACTTGTAGTTGGTATTTAATCCTAAGCAAAGCAAATTCTCATTCACCTAGACAAAAGCAGGCATAAATCCTGGAAGGTTAATTACAATTCTCATCAGAACCATAAACACGCACTGCTGGCACTAACCATGTTGGCCCTGACATCACATAGTAGATGGTCGGCCTCTGGAACCCGTTGAAAGTGGAAGCAGCAGCGACAGTGTAAGCACCCATGTTCTCAAAGAGCATCCAGTCGCCCACATGCATCTCGGGCAAGTTACAGCGCTCAACAATGCGATCCAGGCCATCGCAGGTTGGCCCCCAGATGCTGGACGAGTAATACTTCTCATCTGGTTTGGGCCTCTATGATTGAGAGAGAGAAACACCCCTGGTCACACGGGTCCTGACCAATCATCTTAACTGCTGAATACAGCGTGTTCAGAAGGTACCTTCTGCAGAAGGGGCTTCACATGTGCGTGATCGTAAAGGATGCAGTTGAACGATCCATATACTCCGTCGTTTACGTAATACATGAACGTCTGTTCACTCGACTCGTCTTCATCTACAAAGGCAGATGAGACCCAGTTACCACTTTCTGTACCAATTTTCAGTTACACACGCCAACGATTCACCACCCCTTCTACGTACCATCAGAGCCTGTCTGCTCCTTTAATACGAGCTTTTTGGCAATAATATTAACTGCGAGCGTGAAAGCTGATGCAACATAGTATCTTCCTGGCTCAGCTATGATTCTCACTCCCGAGTCTGATGGAAAATACTTGTCCAGCGCTGGGTTGATTACACTGGTGATCTATCAGAGTGAGACAGAGAAGAGCACGTGGTCATCAAGGGGAAAACACCTGGAGAACAGCGCTTTGCTGTGACAACAGAACACTGAGAGCAGCCGTCAGCGGAGGCTTATCTTCAAACAGACATCCTGAAAACCAGCCTGCACATCCTTGTGGTTTCACTTTGACTTCCCCTCCAGACACCCTCTGTACCTTCTTTAAGTTGTTATGGGTATGATTTTATTAAAGAATGGTCCAAATTTCTTACCATTTCAAGGTGCCAAAATACTTTAACCTAGCAAATACATGCCAACAAGATAAAACTTTGTATTCTACCTGCCTCATATAATCTTGACAAATAAGAATGTGGATCTGTTTTGTAAATGAGTGGCATATAATGGCTTAACTGCTTAAATGACTAAACACTTTAAATGTTTTAAGGAAGGACAAATTCTAGCAAAGAACATCCCGAGAAATGATGTACTAAAAGTTGGCATGTTCTTTCTCTACAGCGACAGCTCTCAGTGTAATCAATTCTCCCAAGACTTTTGGGGGAAACTGGCTCATCTAAGTTTAGAAAACCAAAGAATATTAAATATACTTTTAAATAGCATGGAAGTCACCTCAAAATAGCACATCAAGACATTTATTTTCATGGTTGTATAGTCTTTTTGGGGATTAGTTAAAACACTTTAGTTTTGAAATAGTCCAAAAAGGAACTTGCTAAGAGCTAAAGATTATAGCTTTGTTATAAATTACCTCTTCAAATTTAAGCTTTACATCCTCAGATCCAGGAAAGCCACCGCCAATATCAAGCAGATACATGTTGAAACCAACCTCGGCCTAGAGTCAAGAAAACTAAGTCAATCAAGGAGCCAGATTCATAACAAGTTATGAAAAATGAAGCCCATAATTAGGTTAAACCTCTGTAACATGAGATGACTTCTACAAAAGGTTAAGCAGGACTAGTTATTGTCACTTCTATCCCTCTCCTTGCACTTGGGGTCTACACATACTCACCCCCATGTCAAAGACACAGCGGGCATCAGAGATGGCCTGCACGAAGGTCTCAGGATCAGTACAGCCACTCCCCACGTGGAAGCTGGGGCGAAAAGAAAGAAAATGTATTATTTCTACTTCTAGAAATAACTATTCACAGTGGGAGAAAACCTGTTAAACTTGCATTGTCTAATCTTAACCTCTATCTGTGCCGTCACCAAGGTCTCACCTGACACCGATGACATCAATGTCTAGCTCCTTTGCCCTTTCCAGAAGAAGCCTGCTGGTTTTCAGTGTAGCACCAAATTTGACACTGAGGCGACAGACTGCTTTGGAATCATCAGTGGCGATCCGTAAAACCAACCTAGAAGAAGGAAAAGTGTATCAAATTTCTCATGACAGAAGACCACTTACAGCCAGGGTTGAAATAGAGAATCCTTAGCTCTGCCACCCTATGGTTTGTGTTTAACATGGTTTTATGAATCAAGAGAGTTAAACTTTTTTCTACTGTCTCTGAGCAGCACAGAGATGACTGAAGTATGGAAATTTGACTCTGTTTGCCATTACACAGATCCCATATCTGACCCTGCCCTCACATGGAGAAATAACTCACTTGGCCTTTGGATGTGCCCTGGCAACTTTCATCAACTCGACTTCACTATCAAAAGTCATCATCTGGACTCCATTATTGGCAGCGTACTTAATCTGAGACACTTGTTTACAAGGGTTTGCATAAATAATCTTCTCTGGAGGCACCCCGAGACTCTGCACCAACTGTATTTCAGTCTGAAAAAAGAAGAGGTGTTACACTACATGCAGCTGATAAATGGAAGAAACAGAGAAACATAGGAAGTGGTCACACTCCCCACTTGTTCACGAGCATCTACTGCCCCTGCAGCACAACCAGGGACGTCCTACACAGTCACCAGAGTTCTGCGGCTCTTGCTCACCTTGCTGGCACAGTCAAATCCTGTCCCAATGGCAGCTAGAGTCTTCACTATGGTTCTGCTATCATTGCATTTAACTGCGTAAAAGGGGGTGACCCGAGGAAGAGCTTTTAACCATCTCAGATGTTTCTTTAGAATGTCTCCCAGGTCCGCAACATAGAAGGCATCCTTATCATCCTGCAGCAAGAGTGGTTACAGGAAACCCATCAGCAGCCTAACAACACGTCCGCCATGCAGCCTTCCCTTCTCTCGCCCATCGTTCCCAATGAAGCCCACTCTAGTCAGTCACTGACGTGCACATCACTATTGTCACTGGATGATCTACAGCCAGTTAAATTCTAAATTCCCTAACAAGACACCTGCGTTTCTGTAAGGCCCCACTGAAGTTTCCCACTCATTGGCTTAACATTCTCAAAGCTGCACTGCCAGCATGGACTTAAATATACTTACAGAAGAAGAAACTTCATTAATTTTTTGGTCCAGAATGTCCTTGGCAGTAAAGCCTTCATCCAGGAAATGGCAGTCGAACTCTTCATTACTAAAGCTGTTCATGGTTTCTTGATGTCGTTCTGAAACACAACAAACTGCAAATAGGAAGGACAAATTTACTCAGAAGTCTTAGCAACACTTACTAATTCTTAACAAGATAAATCTGTAACAATCATGAATACTCACAAGGAAAACTAAGAGAAGGAATTTAAAGAAATTATTCCTGCTTTTCACAAAGGCAATTCACGAATCCCAAGTCCCACCGAAGATGCGCGTGCCCTGGATGAAGTGGTGGAAAACGTTCTGATAAACACGGAATCTGCTGTCCACCTTAGGAACACATTAAAAGGGAAGATCAGGTACTGACTGCAAATGTGTAAGCAGCAGGGCTACTCAAGCACCCCCCAGATAGCTCACTCACTGGGTTTGGGAATCCCATTATTCCTAGGTTTGAGTCACACGATTTCATAAACCTTTATGGAATGAGGACACCACAGATTCAATACTAGATTTTTTCACACTAAATTTTCACATATAATACTGTCCACCTCAAAAAAACTTCAAATGTTCCTGCTAAAAAATGGGGAATGTAGGTTTCAGGAGCTTTTCTGCACTTAGTTCACTAATGCGAAAAAAAGGTTTCGTGATAGCTTACTTTATTTCAGAGCTATTTTCCTTTAGAAGCTTAAAATAGCATTATAGCAATTACTGAAAGTTGCTGTATAAATATCATGCTATTTCCTCCTTTCACTGAGTCTTACACAGAATAATTTTAACTGACTAATAGGCGTCATGTCATCACTCTCGACTTACCGGGTGCTCTTAAGTTTCCTGACAATTTTATGAGCCAATTTTCACACTAGGCATGTGTCTGTTTAAAACTGCACTCTTCAAATCAACACATTACAGTTGCTGTATCAGACAGATCAGAAATCAATTTTCTTAAAGCAGTGTTGCCTATCAAATTAGCAACTCTGGGGATCCCAACTGTCCTTACATGCACTCTAACACTTGCTTAGCTACGAATGAGAATCACCTGGGAATTATTTTTGGCTAACTTGCTGAATAACAAAAATAAGCAGGCAGTAATAAATTACAAATAAACAAAAATGAAGCTCATTTAACAATCATAGCCACTGTCCTTGGTCTTTATGAAACGTGACATTGGAAATGACAGTTACCTTAAAATCACTAATTTTAAATCTATTTAACTTCTGCCTGCTGGGGCCTCTTTTCCACTGTGCAACCCGCTTCAGTGCCTGCAGCCTATGGGCAGAGGCCAGGCAATGGTTCGGGGCCACAGTTTCCTCTGGCATGGGACACTATGAAAGGCCCAGGGGGACGGGCCTGCCATAAATCCAAACCCATGCATGGTAGAACTTGTAAGACTTGATCTACTGTGACTTTCTAGTATTGTCAAGTTCCTGCGTTGCCCAAATCACCCGTAGGGGAAGGGAAAGACTAAATGCCAGCAAACCCATTTTGTCTGTAACAGTCAAATAGGCTCACCAGTGACAGACTGGGTTATCCTGGATCTTGTTACACATTTTTAAGGCAATATTTAGATTTAGGAAGTTTTTATTTCTCTGAAATACACTACTATTAAATATTTTGCTGTCCTGTGCCTTTCAAAGCTTTATTTTAATAACTTGCGATGTGGAGCTTTATTTTAATAATTTGAATTTCACCCAAGAACAGTTTTTGGTGTTCTGCATAGCTAAATGATTTAAAACAATGACTCAATTAGCACAAAATAGCACTTTTCTGCTATGAAATCCTTTACTGCCAATTGGGTAACGTTAGAAAAGACAGGTACTAACTCAGACAGCAACTGAAAATTGTACAAAGTCAACTAAATTACACCTAGTTTTAGGTCTGACCCAAGTGAACACATTCTTTGTCCTCCCCAGACATTTCTAAGAGGTTCTGCTCCCCACACTTTCCCCCAATATTTAGCATTTTCATACACAGCTGGCCTCTTTTGAAAACCCTGGGGCTGGCTTCTATGTCTAAGTCTGTTTGCCTGAACTGGGATCTTAATAACCGAGGCTTTTCTTAAATCACTAAGTCATTCCAAGATTCCTTAAACAATTATAAGCCATGGCCGGCTGAGCAGTATCAGTTACTACAAGGTTATCTCAGCTCTAGCTACTCCAGTGGGTTTCTATACTGAGTCATTCCTTCTGTACACAGAACAAACTAAAAAAAAAGCTTAAAAAAAAAGAAAGAAAGAAAAGGAGGACATTATTCCAGGGCATCACGGCAGAATGGCACGTCTCTTCCTTATGAAAGTGAGCATGAGCGACGAGCGCCCGGAGACCTGCGCCGGCTCGCCTGGTACCTCTCCTGCACCTGCTACCGGGCTGCCACATGGGTTTAAGAAAAATAGCGGTTGAAAGAACGACCGAGACTTCAACAGCTTCCGGCTGAGAAACCCTCATTGACAGGGTTCGGGAGAGGCGAACCCCGGGCCGTTCCAGCCCAGGCCGCCCTAAGCCTTGCGTGCAAGGGGCT